ATCCCTGGAGATTCTTCATTTTTAAGAAACACTTCTTAGAAGTACACCTGTCTGTTTGCCTTGAATTCTGGGTCCTCTGTTCTGAGCCTTGACAGTTTATCACTTCCTTTCAAGGTGTATTGTGGGAAATTTTGGGTCCCCTACTTTTTCATACACTAGACGTTCAGACACTCCTCTAAAATGGCGTAACCACTATATAGTGCCCTATATTGTGATTAGGGTGGACGATCAGGACACAGCCATGGGATCCGTGCCACACAGCAGCCATTTTTGCACATTCTTTGGCAAGTTTAATAGGTATATCTTTTAAACACAGGAAGCAAATGGCTAATCTAATTTCAACAACTCTAAATTAAGGCATGATGATCAGAGGGTCTGGGGCCACCTGTATACGGGCTGTCAGTGAGACAGCATCAGAAAGGATGAAAAAGGCAGTTTGGGTCATTTTGGGTGCTTTTGAAGCAGCCGATCTCCTGGATTTCACATACAGCAATCTCTTCGGTTTGGATCAGAGGAGAACAGACAGACTGCTTTCAGATGTCAGAAAGGCAACAGCTGCTTTAGAAAACCACGGTTTGCAGTAGAAAACCCCAAAGGCCACCACTCTTGTTGGCTGGGAACAGGAAACTGAGGTAAAAATTCCTCAAGCTCACCAGACCAGGACCAGAACAGATCGGAAAATCCAGATAGACATGTCAGTGAATCCATGTACATGGAAATATCTGCTTGCCCCTCAATGGGTCCCTGAATATCCCGGTTGTCGTGGTTATTGTTTTGGACAATATCTGTCCCTTTATGACTGCATTGGACCTGCAATGTTGGCCGTTTACAGCAGGACAAGCTCAAAACCTCTCAGACTGGTTTCCTTCACAGGCACCAGATATCAGTCAAGCAGAGCAGCTCCGGAATGTGGTGAAGCAAGACACTCATCACAGATATCCGACCTGCTTCTGTCCGGTCCATACGGACTAAAATATAGGATCCAAACCGATGCAAAAAAAAGGTGTACCTAATAAAGAGTGAATACGATTATATAAAATTAACCCTTGGTGTTTGAGTAATTCAGTCTCTGGGATTCGGATCATTATGTGTTATAGAACGAGATGAAAGGAATAAAGTCTGTTAACATCAAAGGTTTTTCAAACCCTACAGTATAAACAAATTGACACAGAATAATTATTAGCTAAAGATAACAGCAAACTTGGGTTGCATCCTGTAAAGCAGCAATAGAGGCATTTTACACTTTGCTTTTGCTCTATTTGTTAGTAAACATATCACTTTGTGTGTATTTACAATAGGGGTGTAAATAATCGTTTTGTATCGATGCATCAA